GATCAGATTAGTTATGAAGAGATATTTATTAAATTTTTTTATAATTTTTATAAATTTTTTTAAAATATACTCCCTCCGATCCCATTTATAAGTCCAATTTTAGAAGGTGTATTTGGTCTCATTTATAAGTCACGGTGCGTCTTTTTAGGTAATATTTGAGAGGTATTTCCAAAATTACCCTTCATGAGAGAGAAAAAGTAACAGGACATTACTTTTTAGATTTGTTATATAGGGGCATGTTTGGAATTTTACTTACTTTTATTCCTTGTACTTTTATTGTATTGGTATTGATGATGTTAGTAGAAATGACTTATAAATAGGACCGGAGGGAGTAAAATAAACATATAAAATTTATTCTTTAAATTTAAACTATTCAAATCAAAATTTAAATGGTCCATATTTTATCACTCTAATAAGAACCCAAGATAAATTTGAAGAAGTAAAATCACATGCAACTTTCAAAATTTGTACTGTGTATGATAGCCTAACGTACGTACATTTCATCAGCATCATCAACAACTTGTAAGAGTTTATCTGAAGAGCTTCAATGGCTGTGAGGATTCCAAGTCACTGAATCGTTGAAGATAAGGTAATGCCAAATAATATCATGAAACCACCTAATGTTCTTCAGCAATGTGTCATATGTGGATAAGCTCCTTCCTTAGCTTATTTTCACTGAATAATTCTTCAAACTCTTATATCACCTCTCATTCTTTATCGTTACTCTCTCTCTCTCTCTCTCTCTCTCTCTCTCACATTGTAAGAAATTTAACTTATCCACGAAACCTAAATGCAAGGCGGATGTTGGAAAGTACAATGATATTTGAAATACATTACTTTGCAGGTTACCTTGGTTCCAATAAAAAAAGTTTTACTCTTCCATCCAAAATTATAAAGTATTTTTAAATAAAATTTTACATATTAATAAATTTTATTAAATACACTCAATAACTTTATTTTTTAAAAATAAAAATATAAACTTATAAAAATACCTTTTATTTAACATTTTTTTTGGTTAGTTTCATTTAACAACTTTAAGTCCACACTTAGCTAATATCAAATGGGGAGAAATGGTAGTATTGGAACAAATATATTTAATAAAATCTTAATATTCTCAAAGTATCTTATATTTTAAAATATCAAATATTTTTAAAAAATAACTTATAATTTGATGTAAAGATAATATGTAGTCATTTAAATACCAGATTTGTACTCAATTTCGTGTCAGCGTAGAAAATGCTTTTACAAATAATTGTGACTTTCAATTCAACATGGCAATGTTTAAATATGATCTAATCAGAGTCATGTAAAAAAATGTGCCGTGTTTTCCATTAAAAGATTGAGTATACTTTATTATTTTTATTTTATAAAGTTGAGACATAAAAATATATTTTTAATTTAATTGTTTATTTTTATTAAGTTATATATATAGGTTCAAAAATGTTTCATAATTCAAATATGAGATGTCATAAAGATAAAGCGTATGTATGACTATTTTAAATGAAAAATCAAAATTAAAAATTTATTTTTTAATAAAATTTTTTTCTTAAATTAGAAAAAACGCTTCATAAATATCTCCCTCTCTCAACGAAAGAGTTGTGTGAATATCTCTCTCTCACGCGCATTTACATACAAGTGCATGAATGAGATCCAACTTAATTTTAATCAGCTTCTGGACAAGTAATTTTTAGATATTTGCCAGATATATAGAATAATAAATAAATATATCTCCTCTATAAATATTTTAAGATTGAGATGAGATGATGATTGGATAAATTTTGGCAGGGATGAATCTGGGAATTGAAAACCCAAATTGTCTGAGAATTGTTCTTTTTTCTTTATCTTAAAATTACACACACACACACACACACACACAGTGCGTGTGTGTGTAATATGAGGAAAATCAGGGAAGCTTGTTTAGTTAAGAAATTTATCATACCAAGCTGTAATTTTTCATAATATCATATTAATTAATCTAAAAATTGAACAATTAGAGATATCGGAAACCAACTCAGATTTGTGTGAATGGTATAAATTATTGTTTCCTAAACAAATAATTGAGAATTTAATTTGTAACGTTACTCTGCTAAACAAATATTGTTTGTTAGGAAGTATCTATCCTCTGTCTTCCACATTCGCAGTTTGGTGAATGAAAGAAGGATGTGAATGAAAACAATAGTATTGTCCAGGCCAAGAATGTGTAGATCTAGAAAAATAAGAGGATGGTCGTGCAAAAACAAAAAGATTTGGAAACGCATAATCCTGAGTCGATGATCGTTGTAAGCACAACGTAGTGAGCCAGAGAGCCACAGATTAAGTGGCAAAAGGCCAAAAGCCACCAAAAAGGTTCAAATCATTGCTCACACGAACCCATCCAAAACTCTCAAGTTTGAAATATCTTTTCATTAATATATTACTTTATCATTAATATATTACAAAATTTATTAAAAAAAAGGCAATAGGTCTAATACTACCCAAATTCACACAGATATTAAAAACTATATTGATCATTAATCTGATTAAAAACTTAATTTAAAAATTAATAATTAAAATTATAGCCAAACTATAGTTATACCAATTATAAATAAAAGCATTTCATTGAATTTGTTAAGATAATAATTTAATGATTACAGATTGAATCAGTTAAATTAATTTAAATTTTAATATTAAGTATTTACACAAGTATATATTTTTAATAAATAAATAAATTTATATTTATTTTAAAATAAAATATCACATTAAATAAAAATAAATATAAAAAATAATATTAATTTAAAAATAATTATGTGAAAACGAGATTCGATTAAAATTTTATTTTTATAATTTATAAATATCAGTATATTTCAAATCCCTGGAGCTCCTAAAAGCTGACTTCGATACACGTGAAAACTCAGATGCTCCTTACCTCACAAAAAGGTTGTCCACGTATGCCCTAAGAATCCAGTTCATCCAATAAAAGGATGCCACGTCACAAGATAAGGAGCCTTTTCCATAAACCCCAAAGAGGGCTTTGCAGGTGGTAGGGAATGAGAATGGCACACTTGGAATAATCCCACAGGCACAACCATGCTAGGCCATCCTCTAGATTTTATTCGCTCAATTACTTATTTGCCCATTTTTGTACCACCATATCACAATCATGCCATGACCTCCTCATTTTCGACTTTTTATTTGAGTTACAATTACAATTTTTTTTAAAAAAATAAAATTGATAACTTCTTTCTGTGAGAGTATTAGAATGGAACTTTCAACAACTTAAAGATATAAACCCTTACTATTGACGCTAACGTGAATTAGTAAAATATAATTCTTTCAAATCATTATAAGAAATACTTTAATTGTACAAACTTGATGTGATTTTGTTTGATGTTATTTTGAGCAATCTAAAACTATTATACTCTTATATGCATGGAAATTTATTACTCCCTCCCTTTGAAAATAAAAAGCATTTTTTTAGGGGTTGAATACTTAAGAATTTAAGGTATTTTTGATATTTTAATGTATAACCAATGCTTTTTTTAAGTACTCCTATTGAATAAATTATTTTATATTTATTTTAGAGTGAAATATTTTATTAAATAATGATAAATATAAAAATATGGCTAGTTTAAAGATAAATAATTATTTTATTAAATGCAAGATTTAATTAAAAATGTATTATATTTTTGAATGAATGAAGTATGATTTTTTTCTTGAACAAATTAACAATAAATATAATAACTCTAAAAAGTTGCTAATTCTGGCCAACGAAAATTAATTCATATACGTGCATCTCATATTTATAAGTACATGAATTTAATGCTGGCAAAAACAAGACATGAATTTAAATCATGCTATAAATATGAAGGTTTTTTTAGATATAATTTAAAAATATCTTTATAGATGTTAATTTAACTTGAGAAAATTATCCCAATTGTTGTGAGCCTTTAGCATCAACTCGCCTATTTTTTTTTTTTTTAAATGCAATGAACATAGTAAGAGAGATTCGTTAAGCCATAATGAAAGAGAAGTAAGAAAGCCACAACAAATGTGCTGTGTTTATTACAAAATAATGAGAACAGAAATAAAAGGCCGGCTCCATGCGTGAATTGCATTACCTCCTTTCAAGTTTCCAACTTTCCATCATGATTTTAATGTTATTAGTTTTGTTGGCTCTTTTTCTGACAAAATCTTATATTACAACTTTTTTCTTTCACATTTCATGTTTCATACACCAGTTATTTAAAAATCAAACTAAATCCGATAATTAGACTGGTCAAATTATCAACCCGTTAGACTAATGGTTTAGTCAAACAAAAAACCAATTTTGAAAATTGGGTTGGATTGGATCATTTTGAATTGACGATTGAATTAAGAATCGGTTTCGGTTTTCAAAAATCGGACTTTTAAAAAAATGTCTCTTTTTTATTTTTTAAAAAATAATTAATTTTTTAATTATTTGATGTTATATTGCATTATGTGATTTATTAAGTTATGATAAACTTAAACTATTCAATTTTATTTTTAAGTTAAGTAGAAATTTCATATTCATTTCTTATATTTAAATTATTATATACATATATAAATTTTTTTAATTTAATTATTACGTTACCTGTTTAATCATTGATCCAACCCGATTGAACCATACGAATTGTGAACCGTTAACTTTTCTAATTTAATATCTGGTTTGGGTATAAAAACATTGGCATACACTCACTAAAAATTTAATCATGGTCACAAATTTAAATTTGAATTTAAAATTTTTAGTTAAACTAAATCAAATCCCTAACCAATTATTTCAAATACTACCATTTATCACAGGCATTCGAATTTGAAGGTAGAAACAATAAGGTACAGGGGCATTTTGGTGAAACGACAATGTAAAATAATTGAAAATGGTGAGAGATGAAAAAAAAAAAAAGCTTAATGTGACTGAGTGGTCCCACATTCGGAACAGCAGAAACTGAGCATCGTCCCTTCCTTCGTTCTCATCTTCTTCGCCATTCCACCCCCTCCAGCCATTTTACACACATACACAATCTCTCTCTCTCTCTCTCTCTCTCTCTGTGACACAGCCTTAGTGCCCAATTATGTCCCCCTCTCTAAAATTTTTTTGCCTATATATATCTTCTCCTCGTGACTTGCTCTGTTCTACGCTCTCATCACCCCCTTCTTCTCTCTCTCACTGAATATTATCACCAGCCAACAGAAATTATCACTTCCCTGGACATTTTAGCCCTCACTTCTTTTATTAGAGAACTTTCCTTTCCCAGAAAATTTTCTGATTTTCCTTAATACCCAGACACCTATCACAGCTTTGGTAGGTATCTGGGTTGGGGGTTGGGGGAATTACTTTTCTGGGGATTTGGGATACCTACTACTCTACTTTGCTTCTTCGGTTTTGTTTGACTACTTGGGAGCCAAGTTTTACTGTAATCTTCAGATTTTTTAATACAAGTTCTGGGTTCTTCTGTTTATTATTATTATTATTTGCCCCAAAAGTTCTTTGCCCTAAAAGTTCTTGGCTTTTTCTTCCCCTTTTTGTTTGTTATTTTTCAGGAATAAAAGCCGTCCACTGTTTGTTCCTTGTACCTTATGGGTTTAGGGTTTTGTACCCTTCTCTCTCAGATATAGCTTTCTCTTCTTTTTTAATTCGGCAAAATGAGGATTTTTTCATGCTTTGCTGATTGTGATACTGTTTAACTTTCAATAGCAGCTTATGAATTTGAGCTCAAAATCTTTTTAGTTGTGAGGTTCATCTTCATACCTGTTCACAAAGATGTCTTCGATCTTGACTGGAGCAGGTGGTGGAAGAACCTACGGGTTCGACTTCGATTTCGTGAAATCTCCATCTCCGTCGATCCGACCTTCTCATACATCTTCATCGTCTACTTCTTCGACTTCTTCAACAATATCTGAATCCAGCAATTCCCCTTTAGCAATCTCCACCAGAAAATCTCGAGCTCCTCGAAAGAGACCAAATCAAACCTACAATGAAGCTGCTGCTCTGTTATCTACGGCCTATCCCAATCTCTTCTCCAATAAGAACCTCAAAAAACCAGGCGAATTCTCCCGACCTAGTGATGCTGCTTTTCTGGACGAATCCGCTGAGGAATTGTTCTTGCCTTTCAGAGTCTTCGACGATTCTGCCTCCTCTTTCCTTCTCCAACAACAAATTCAGCACAAATCTAGTTCTCTAATGGAGCCTAAAGTGGTGAATCTGCAAGAGAAGTCGTGCCAGAGTCCCGGGGAAATTATCTCAAGAGTGAATTTGCTGGAATTGGACGATGATTGCGAAGAAGATTTCGATGCCGAATCTATTCTCGATGAGGAGATGGACGAGGGAATCGATAGCATCATTGGAAGCAGAACTGAAGAAGATTCCAATGATGCATCCTGTCACGGTGACAGAGGGAAAAATTGGAGCGTGGATTCCTCAGGATTCGGATTTGGCTCAAAATTCGATTTCCGGCTAGGGCTGGTGAAGGCTCTCCGGCGTGTCGATGACAGCAATTGGTGGAATTTCCCGGCGGTTGACATAGTGGAAATCTCGCCAAGAATCAACAAGCATACATCGTCGTTTGCTCCGCCGGCGGATAAGGAGAAGAAGAAGAAGACGACGACGACGAAGAAGGTGGCTGAGAAAACTAAGGTGAAATCTCTCAGAGGAATTTCGATTCCGAAATCGAAGGCTTCGAAATTGATGTTGAAATTGAACTACGACGACGTTTTGAGTGCTTGGTCAGACCGAGGGTCACCGTTTGCCGACAGAAGTCATTGCTCCGATTTACCGGGAAATGATGCCAATGTATGTTCTCCATCTCTGGCCAGCCGATCAAAATCCAAAAACAAGAATAAGAAAGTTTGATCTCCCTGGTTGAAGACGAGCAAGAAGCTCTTAGCACACTTTCCCTTTCTTATTTTTCTTTCCTTTTTTTTCTCCAGTTTGAAAATTCCCATATATATTATAGTACCACATTTCTATTTATTGTTATTTGCCTTAAAAAATAAAAAAAAATGAACTAGTACTTACAAATATATATATATATATATATATTTTATATATTATATTGAAAATAATTATTACTCATTTTCAAATTGTTTAGCCCCCAACGTTTCTGTACATTCTCTCTGCATGTGTGTGTATATATATCAACCGTTTCAACCTTAATCTTTGCTAAATTCACTATTCTCCTGAATTAACCTTAGATGAGTACCTTGTTTTTATTTTAAATGAGTATAAGCTAGTGTTATTTATTTTTAGGTCAACAAATTAGGATTAGTGTTAATTTAAGTATTAAGTATCGTATGATATTGGTATTGCACGTAAATAAATGCTAATTCTTATATAGTGCTTGATATTTAAAAATTATTCAAAATATGCAATTTTAAAAATGATTTTAATTTTGTTGAGTATATAGTGAAAGAACTTTCAAATTAACAGATGAAAACAAACCTATTGTATTTATTTCTATGTTAATTTTTTATTGAAAAGACATATTGAATTATTTAATTACTCGAACGTATTTAAATTATTTGAATTGTGATTCGTTAGTGCATAAATTATGATGAGAAAGACATTTATTTTAAAAAATATTAATAATTAATAATTGTATATAAAAAAACAATTGTTAATGCTATACATATTGGGCATGTGAGTAACACTATTAAAATTCGGCATGGTGAACTCAATTCTTTGAGGAAAAAAAAAAGTGTACTTAACACATATTCCAAATCCTGTATATTTGTACGAAATTTAAGACAGGCTGTATTTATTTAAAATTTGTGTATAATGAATCGTTATTCTGTTTATATTTTATGCTAAGGATTTCAAAGTCATCAGCGAGTTTGTGAATTATGTTTTAAAAAACGTGAGAATAAATATTAATAACTTTTGAAGTAAATTATATAAATAATGACGTATGTAGTATTGGATTTGGCAGGCCCTAGCGGCCCAAATAGATTTGGTGACAAACATAGGAGGAGTGAGAGAAGCATGTGTGATGCGCTACAAAGAAAAGCGGCTTGCACGGCTCGTCTCTAAGAAGATCAGATATCAAGTCAGAAAAGTCAACGCTGATCAACGGCCCAGGATGAAGGTATGATTGATTCACTTACAATTTGTTTCATTTATAGATCATAGATAATATTTCCTCTGTTTCAAAGTATATGCATTTTAATATCTTTATATAGATTAAGAAATGTAAGTATTACAATAAAATATTAACTACATTGTCAAATTTATTGTCGTAGCTTAATAAAATATTATGGAAATTGTTAGGGTAAATAAATATATATTACGAACAAATATTACTAAATATTAATCTGAACTTCTGAAATGACATGTGAAATTTAAAAAAATTTTTTTTAAATCAATACATATATTTTGAAATAGAGAGAGTATTTCAATACTCACTCTAACTTGCATAAAATATATTTTGAGGAGATTTTGGCCTGTTTGTTTAAGTTTTTTTCATGAAACAAAATATTTTTTAAAAATTTTTTTATGAAATTTTATTATGTATGTTTAAAACTTTAAAAATAATCAAATTTTGAAAAAAAAAGCAGGTTTATGATTATTTTAAATAGTTATTTTGAGTACCAGTATCTTGTAAAATTCTAATATAATAGATGAGAAATAATTTAAAAATGTATAAAATTTTAAAATAATTAATAAATTATTTTTAAATAAAGATCCATGAGAATATTATAAAATAATTAAATTATAATAAGTTTCTATTGTTATAACCAACATAAAATAAATAATTAAGTTTATATTTGATAAAATAATAACTTTTTAAAAATTTAAATTATTTAAAATAATTTATTTTTTAATTTTAATCACCTTTTTTAAAAAAATTTAAATTATTTAAAAATTATTTATTTTTTAATTTTAAACAAACATATCGTTTAGTATTTGCTTATTAAGGTCATGGTTGGTGTTGTGGTCCTCGTGGGGCCTAGTCGCTATTTGAACATCTAACATATGCCTTTTTTTTTACAAAATATAATATATTTTTAATTAAATTTTACTCAATAAAATAGTTATTTTTTTCAAATTAATCATATTTTTAACATTTATTCTTATTTAATAATTTATTTTCACTTTAAAATAAATATAAAGTGACTTATTTAATAGAGATACTTTAAAAAATAAAGCAATTATTATGTCTTGATTGATTGAAAATATTTTACATTTTTTAATATCTATCCCTCAAAAATTTCTTACAATTTTAATGTACAGTGAAATATTTGTTTTCAAATCTACCCCTCCTTATGGTACTCTGCAGTAGAGTCAAGAACTCAAACTAATTTAACAAACCTTCTCAATCCATAAAAAAGTGACAATAAATATAAATCATGTCGGGTAACAAATTTAATAAAAAAAGATGGGATTTGAATATTTGAAAATTTTGGGTATTTAGTTGTAAATCTTCTCATAATTGGTTTCATTATATGACTATGTGGGACTGGTTTTCATAAAATGTGGGCCCATTTTAGATATTAGTAGTTGGTGAAATCTTTGGGCCATCCACCATGAATCCTTGAATTGACCTTCTCATTTCTAAAAATGTTAGGTCGGAGGAACATATTTGTAAATCATGCAAGCAACCTAACAATTAAGATCTTGATTAGTATGTTGTCTTAAATCTTTATTTTGCTAGTCAAAGAGAGACTTGTGTGTATTTTGATGGTGAGAAATTGTGCAATTATAACATTAAAAAGATTAATGCAATTCACTTCATTATCAATTACAATATGAATTTTGTGTGGCTATGTCAACTAAACAGAGATTGATAAATTATGAATTCAAAGGATTTTTAAAAATTTTGTAACATTTTTATTAATTTTTAATGGAAGAAAAAAAGGTTAAAAAAATTAAATAATACAAGTTTAGCTTGTTTGTGATATGGCAGGGGCGATTTGTGAGGAGGTCCAATTATAGCTCAAATCCACACCGATGATGATAAGGACCATTTTTCCACAAGAAAAAACAAAACTGTGTTTCATTCTTTTTTTTTTTTCATTGTAATGTAATCTAATTATTTGCCTTTTTATTTCTTTCTTTCTTTTTTTATTTCTTTCATCTTACAAGTAGATTAAGTGATAACCACAAAATGAAAAGAGAATTCAAAGTTTAAATCCTCCAAATTTTGCCATTGTTAAATCTTTGCAGAATAATAAAAAAAAGGATTACTGTTTTCTATCCACTCCTTTAGTTAAACTCATAAAAAATAATATATAAAATTAATAAATAATGAAAAAATAAAGTAAAGAATACAGAAACTAGCTTAAGACATTTATTTTGGATTACAGTCCAGGCTGTGAGGCTGAAGCATTTTTTCCTGGTGAATTGCAAAGAAGCACTCTTTTATCGTTTGATTTTGATAATGTTAAGTTAATCAACAGAAATTAAGCTCAATTTTCTTTTTTAAAAAATTAGAGTTGCCTAGGATTCTATAATTCAACGTCTTTTTGTGAGGTTTTTATGGTGGCAGGAAGATGCCTTATTAATTTCCACCAACTTTGTCCGATGCTTTTTCAGAAGCATAGATGCTGCTCTCCTTCCATGAATCATGAATTATAGGTT